TGATTTCACTAATGAGTTTGTTAGTGATTATGGGAGGACAGCAGCAATTTGTGTGAAATGGCATTCTTTGTCTGCCATGTGACGAGAGAAAAGAGAACAAGTGCCTTTGAAATATTTCTCAGTGTTTCATATATTTTATATATTTAACTCATTGCTTCTAATCTTTCTTTGATTCAAAAAAGTTACAAACCTGAGGAAACAACAGGCCTTCCCTATGAAACATCCTGAGACAGAAGCCGTTTATTAAGTGACCTAAAGGAGGAACAAGGTCTTATTGTTAGGATATCATACTTTTAACAGAAAGGAAACGTCAAACCATTTAAATTGTGTTATCACAAACAGATTTTAATGTATTAACAAACATTCTTAAAAAATCTTGAGTCTAAAAAAAAAAAAATACAACCTTTTCTTCACCTTTACACCTGATGTCATATTTAACAGAGAGCACAGACAAACAAAGGAGTTCCCGTGTTACAGCAGCATTGTACTGGATCCATATTAAGCATGGAGGATTTGTCTCTTTGTAGAGAGTGTATGAAGACCATGTCTGCAGTGAGTTGTTCCAAAGGGATCATCCTTAAATGGCATGTGTGCCAGGCAACAAAAGACACTGTGCAAAATAGGCTTTCTATTTCACAGGCATTGTTTGTTCTGTTGAAGGGAGCTGTTGATAGTTTTGCTGTTATAGACACAAATTCAGCCAAAGGAGAATGCCTTACTTTAGTTCAGCGGGAATTTGTTCTTAAAGAGACAGACGCTTTATAAACCATCACAACTCAGGCGAGTGATTTGTACTTCAGCTACTAAAGTATTTAGCAACATTTAATGGTATTCAAATAGAAATACAGTTTTTGAGTGGTAGCGTAACAGAAAAACACATCTAATGCATAATTTTCTAAGTTTAGAAAAGGTATATATGTTCCATCTGATAGGTGAGCGGTAAAATATGATGTTTAATGCAGAGATATTGAAAAAAAAAAAACAATCCCCTAAGCTTTGGACCTTAAAAATACCAAGACTTTCACCTACACTGACAGGCTGGGCAACTATAGAAATAATAGAAGAAGGAGCCAAATATCTACAATAACTCTAGGGGAGCTGAAGAGATCTGCAGCTCTGCTGCTGGGATCTGTTGACACAAAAACTACAATATTAATCGTGCAGCTGACAAACCTAGGAGGAGAAAGCCATAAGAATTTTAACTTACCCTCTGCCACAAGTCTGGTAGCGACACAGCAAACATAAGAGGTCTGGTCAGATAAGATCCAACTGATTGTTGCTTTTTTCATGCAAAGAGCGACGTGTAAATGAGCATAACCTGCAGAGCAATCTAAAAAAAAACATTGACCTTAAAGCAAAAACAAAGTGGTAGCAACATCATGCTGTGTCGATACTAGGGCTTCCTGAAAAGAACCTTTGACAGCTTACCTTCTAATAAGGCAAGCTCCATAAACATACAGCAAGAGCTATGATGGAATGCTTTAGATCAAATAAGACATTACTCTGGCTAATATAACCCCTAACCTGTGGAGAAAAACTGAAAAGCTGCCAGGATTTATAAAAATATTTATAGATTCTCTCTTTATATTTATACAGTTGAAGCCATTTTGCAAAAAAAGTATGGGACATTTTAGTCTCTAGATGCGAACCGCTGATAGAAAAATACCACCAAAACAGACCACAGCTGTAACCGAGTATGAATATAGATGCACCCAGTGGTCTTCCTTTTTTAGATAGAAATATTTTTTTTTAATATTGTGTTATTTTCTTTTCGCTTAATTGTTATGCACACAATCTAAATTTTCATTGAAATATGTGGCCATAGAATGACAAAATGTGGGAGGGGAAATTTTGATTAAAATGAACAATCAGCACTTTTCTTGTGAGAAAACCTGATTACTTTAATTCTGTTTTTGCCAGAACTTATTATGGATGGCCAGTATTCACTCTCTCAGAGGAAAGATTTACTTACTGAAAATATTTAAACAAAAATGTTACCCACGTGCTATAATTCGTGATATTAAATATACATTAAGATATAAAGATGATTCATAATTAGGCTCTAATTCTCCAAAAAGAAAATGCTTAATACGGGTAAACATTTAGTCTTTCTGTCAGCCTCAGTCAAGAATGAAGCCTTAGGGTGGAAGAAAGGCTGGTAGCACTAATGATGCAGAAAACAGCAAACAGCACACAAGGCCAAGAGAGATGCAAGACTGCCATCCTATGGTGAACGAGGAAACTAAAGTCCCTCCTGTTGAGGCTGCAGACAGTAGGAAATGGCACAGCCGCTAAAAAAGGAGTTATTCTCTGTCCATTGCATTTATTTTATAGGTCGAGCGCAATTCCATAGAGCCGGTTTCTCTTTCTGTATAATGAAGGACTGTGATGGTGCTTTATCACTTGAACATCCTCATCCCCAACATTAGCTCAGATATAATGAGGGTTATTCAGAGGACGGGGGCCCTCTCCGCAGAATGATAAAAGACCCGAGAGTGTGTCTGTGACATGGCATCGGTCATTAGCCTGCCTCACTTTGCCCTTTCATGTATTTCTAAATAAGTGCCTTCCTGTGGGTTTAACAGACCACCTAATCTGCCTACTTAGAGGTATGGGCGAGGAGTGGGAGCCCAGAGAGGTGAATTTCAGGCAGGTAAATGTGCTTATCTGTGCTGTGACATGTTTAGACTCTCTGGTGGAAATTCTGCCACAGGCTTCCAACCCCCGGCAGGTTTCACTGGTGATATAAATTATGGGGGGGATTAGAGTATTTATGTGAAGAATCCTATAAAAGTGGAGCAGTGGCTTTCATAGATGTTACAGCTTTAAATCCCCACAGTAACTCTCTGTGTGCCTTTTTCTTTTAAAGGTTAATGCTGATTTAAGAATTCCCACGGTGTTGGCCTGTCTGATCAATACTTGTAAATATACAGTTCTTTGACGGGAGAGGTAGTCTTATCTCTGTTGCAACCAAGAATAAAAGGCTGGAGCTACAACGAAGGGATTGATTTGAGGATGGGGTGTGAGGGTTATTTTAAAGTGCCAGCATCCAAAAAGGACTAGATTTGAGGCAAAAACAAAAGAGGGAAGAGAGAAGTTCCACATAAAATCAAAGTAGATCCCTACAGCATTGCTTGAGAGATTTCTAAATAAAGTAGAACAAGGTCTGGGGAAAATCAGCTTTTGAACAGATTAGGAAACGGTCCCTAAAGAAAAAACTTTTTTGTCCACTCTGATTTTTACTTAGAAGAGTAATAGAGACTGAAATACAAGCTTCTTACACTACATTTAACTACAGAGAATATTCCCTTTTACATGTGAACATAAAAACGCATGTTCTAATCCTTCACAGCAAAGCTATTTTAAAAATGTCATTATGGTCAGTCTTGCAGGGTGATGTAGTCTACCCCCGTTTTCACACTGTGAAATGAGCTTCACTGACCCAGATGCTCCCTGGGCTTCAGAAATCTGAGCCCTTGATTCGGCTGCTCTTACACAAGTCTGTCATGTGACGGAAGGTTGCGAGGTTAACCGAAAGGCTGGTAAAATATCACCAATCAGAAAAATAAGCCCCCGGCACATTTGTCTCGGGAGTGGGCAATCAAGGCCATACAGAATGAGTAACTGTTGGATTATTTAAATAAAGCACAGACTGGGGCAAAAGAGACAGGAAAAGACGTGTCCTTAAGAGTTAATACAAGTCTATGAGCAGAACATTGTATGAGCTTTGAAAAAAGTATTCCTGTCCCTCAAACTTTTCATCATTTCCAACCACAGACTTTAATGCCTTTTTGGAGTTTTACATGATAGACCAACACATTCCCTTGTTATAGTGGTCGAAGTCCCTGACTGTATGCGGGGAACCTCTGTTCCAACCTCAGTTGCATCAGGAAGGGTATTTTCTGAGTAACTCACAGTGATTTAGTGAGGCAACTCCTGAATAGAGCAGCCAAAACACCACAAATATGGAAATAGACAAACACAAAGTAAAGAACTATTGTGAAGTGGTGGAAAAATGTTGTCATGTATTCGCCTCCCTTAAATTTACCTGATTAGCAAATCAATTATGAAGGAAACACCTGTGCAGTGTAAGTCTTTTGGGGAATGTCTCCCATAGTTTCCACATAAAGAAATAAAATTTGCCATTTCTTTTTCCAAAAACGGAAGCGGCCCATTGTGTTTATAGCAATTGTGACAAGTGAATATTTAATTGTTGCCAAAGAGTCACAACTGCATTATAGACTTTGACATCACCAGTCTATCACATGCTAATGTTTCTGTTCCTGCTCTAGTTGTATATTTACACTGCAAAATACAGAAATCTAGTATTCTTAAAATAAGTGCTTTTTTTTCTTGAACTGAGCAGGTAAGTGAGACTTCTCCCTGTACACAAATAAATGTGCTCAGTAGGACCAGCGTGAAACTCCTGAAGTTTGGAGATCACTGCTGTTGATGTGTTGTTGCTCATGCATAGTGTGGACCATGTCTGAATGCACCTTTCCTCTATCCCCAACCAAAAAAGAGTGACTAACATCTCTGCCAACCCCCCACATCCTGTTCAGAACTACCATCAGGTTGCTGCTACTAAGAGCTAATGGCAAAAACAAACCGTCAGACATAGTTTCTCTGCTGAATAAAATGAACACCTCTCAGGTATGGTAGTCAGAATAATTAAGTCTGTTGCACTATTTCAACCTGTTTTTCCCCTTCTATGGAGAAAAAAAATAAAGATTGGTTACATATGAAAACTTGAACATGCTTCTATTTTTTTTACATTTTCTTGCTACATATTGTGGTTGTTTAAATTGAGTTGTGAGCGATTCTGATTCAAATGACCGAACTCTAAATGCACCCACCAGGAGAGGGCGATGTGCACCACCAGGCTTAATGGTGGAAAATGATTGTATTTTATTTACTGAAGCATTGTTTCAATAATAAGGCATGGATACAATTATAAAATGTATCAAACAACTTAATTTAAATGAATAAAAAAGGAGTTAAGTAATAATGAAAAACATTTATTTTGCAGTTTTCCTTCTGCATGGAGACTGAATATTCACAGTAGATTACATAAAACAAAGAAGGCAGTAGGTAGAAATTTGTCACTATAGCACTTGATTAGATGAGAGTTATGAGGCAAAGCTTTGCTTAAAGACACAGTAAGGTAGTGTAGATTAGACTGTTAGGACACATGGTGTACTAATATTGCTGACTTGAAGTTAGTTCGGCACAAAACCCCTTCAATTAAAATGCAATGATGATAATGTCATTAAAACTTAAGGGAAAGACTGATTTCTTGCAATTGAACTATTTGAATATTTAATGAAGATTGTCAACAAAATGTCTGAAGACATCTCTTTAAAGGAAATGTGATAAGTAAATAACCCAGAAAGGTGAGAGTACGTAACTGCGGTCTCATGCAAAAAATTCAGATTAGCTCTCTTCCTTTTGTGACTCCAAGATAACCTAAAATTAACTAGTAAATAAAATCACATACAAGCCCATAACATTAATTAATGAGCTTTTCAGTCATCCCTAAAGATTTATTTTTGTAGCTTCTTGCCTGGAGAACATCAAAGCATTTCTGGGATTGACTTTTCCTAATCCTGTCAGGGCAGGAAAGAGGGAGAGAAAAAAAAAATAACGAGAAGTGAAATGTGAAATAACTCTGTTTGGCAACAACTCCTCTAATTGCATTCCACTACCTCAAGAATCATCTATGGACATAAAGGTCAGAGTCTTGAGAAAAAATAAAACTTCTTACACAGTCTAAGAAAAATAAGAATCATTTGAAGTGTTCATCAATTCTAACATAGTAGAGTTGGAAAGATAAGAACAGATAAAATGGCTGACACCCATGTTTGCTTTGCAGAGCATTGTCACTACGAATAAACACACAGCAGCATGATAGTTCCTTGCAGTTTAGATACAGAAAGGGATCTGCACCTCTGAATAACAAACAAAATTCATATGAACTTTATAGTGGGTGGGAATGGCTTCAGAAATTAAACACAATGTTTATTTACGGTCAAACATAGTAAAATAGTTCTGCATTAAATGGGAGAATTTCTTGAGCAGCATAGTTAGTGTCACTGGCAGCTTGATCATTAGCTTAGTGTTAGCCATCAAGCACTGCAGTCTAAGTCACAGTAACAACAGTGGTCATTTTCCAGTAAGACATCCAAAAATCTGAGATTTACTAAGTAAAATTGGCAACAAAGTGGTTGAGATTGTTGTAGACACTAATCTATAACAGGCTATTACAAAAATAACTATCAATTTCCCATTTTAAGGACAATGGAAAACATTTGCTTTGTTCCCCCAGCAAATACAGTTATGTGTTGTGGCTTTGATTTAGGTCCATGAGGAGCTCAGAGTAAACAGCACCTCTCTCTGAAACTCTTCTTACTCTTCTTGTTCTTTCCTTTTCCGTTTTTGTCCTTGTTTTCAGTCATTTTCTTGCCTCGCACTTCACGCATTAAATCGAAGAATGCCTGGTGAGAAAACAAGGAGCTTGTTTACTTTTTACTTTGATCCAAAATCAAACTTGAGTTTGAATTCATATTATTATTCAGTACTGTACATAATTTATAGATCAGATTTGAGGGGTTGTTGATAATGGTTTCCATCATATATAGTTTGCTGATTTTTTTTCTTTTTTCCCTGTCATCTTGAGAACAACAACTTTTGAGTGACTGAACCTGGCAGATCAGGGGCTTCTGTAAAGTCAGTTTGCTTTATTTTGTTTGTTTGTTTGTTGTTAAGCATTTCTACTCATGAAAAAGGGAAAAAAAGATGGTTGCTAATTATTTAACTGTTTAAGTAGCTGTATTTTCAACCTGTTAAGTTAAACTATTAGAAAGATGTCTGCTAAACAGCTGACAGAAGGCTGGCTACCTGAGTGTGCAGCCTTACTTATAAACCAGCTAATCAGCTAGTTATTATTGTCTAACTCTATAAAGATGTAAAATAATCCATACTGAGAACTTGTCAAAGGCTTGAATAGGTGGATTTAGATTCTTCACACCCTATGGAGAACATTAGGGAGGAATTTAACAAACCTTTACATTATTTAGTTGGATAAACAAGCACATAACCTTGCAATCATTGAACTGGCTAAGAAGCAGGATTACTGCAGAAAGATCTCATCAGAAGAGCCTTTGGTTGCATAATCTAACTCTACATACCACAGGCGAGCTGTAGCAAGTCTACAGATTCTTGTATAAACTGACCTCACCGATATCAGATCTGATTTTATTCACAGCAAAACTTTTCCTTCTACATATAAAACTTTGGCATGTTTCTGTTCAATAAATGCTTTATGTGTTCAGTGGCACCTTATCCACGTTGGCTCTAGTTTTGGCAGATGTCTCAACATACTGGACCCCCCACTCCTCTGCCTTCCCACGGCCCTCGTCCAGAGACACCTGCCGACGATCCTCCAGGTCTGACTTGTTGCCAACCAGCAGGAGAGGAATCTTGTCCTCCTCTGCCTTCACCCGCAGGATCTGCTCCCTGCAATCACACGGCAGATTCCCGATAAAAAGTTGAAATATTTTTACATTTCTTATCCATCGTACAAAATGATAAAAATGTTCAATGGTGGCATTTACATTGCACAATGTAAATATCTAACGTTTTATAGCATGTTTTTAATTGGAGCAAGGCATATATTTGAGTCAGTTATTTTAGACTAACACAGAAACAAAGCCAAGAAACGAATCCTGCATCGTACTTGTCCAGAAAAATGACATGATCAAGTAGGAGGAAAAATGTAATTGAATCATTTCACTGATCACAGTCATTACCAATACAGCAAGATGTAATCTAATTTACATCTCATCAAAGTCGTGGACTTTCAACAGATGCCACATTTACATGCTTGCCTCATTGCATCATTACCTGAACTCATCAATGGCACTGAAGGACTCTTGCTCTGTGATGGAGAAAACCAGCAGGAAGCCCTCCCCGCTGCGAAAATAATTATCCCTGATAGCAGCATAGTCCTCCTGGCCAGCTGTGTCCAGAATGTCTATTTGGACTTCCTCCCCATCCAGCACAACCTTCCTTCTGTAGCTGTCTGCCTTGGTGGGCTCATAGTCCTCCACAAACTGGGGATGAAAAGATTAAAACCATTTGTCTTTGCTGTTTTGAAGGGCGAAAGACACAAAAAATGTTCATGTTCTTTGCAAGGATACAGCTTATGAGCCGATAATCTGGTTTACTTTACTTGATTACCTCTATTAATAAGATTTTTCCTTTCTTTTCTTTTTTTAATAAAAAAAAATCTGCACAGTTAGGCATACAATCAATAAATTACTGAGTAGTGGCATAACGGTTTGAGCTGAGAAGATGTTATCATGGAGCAGCAAAGTTAACTGCAGAAAAACTAATATCATTGGAATGCACCAAGTAGCAATGATAAAAACATCTTTATTATTACTGTAGGACCTTTTTTGCTGCAATTAAAACTTCTAGTCTTTTAAGGTTACATCTCTAGCAGCTTTAAACATGTAAAGACAATCATTTTACACATCTTCACAAAATTCAACTTGAGAAAAAACAAATTTAGGTGTTGCAACAGATTCTCAGCTGAAGCTAGGTCTGGACTTTGACTAGGCTACTAAAACACATAAATATGCCTCGGTCTAAACCGTTCTACGCTGGTTCTGACACCATACGTCTTTGTCCTTCTGGAAAATGAAGATCCATTCTAAACCTTAAATATTTTACAGTCATATTTTCCAATCCTTCCCTCACATTTAGCTCCATCTATTTTCTCATCAATTCTGACCAACTCCGTCACATGACACTGAAGTTTTTCAAGCAGCATTAGTTTTTTGCAACTCAGCCGTTTGCACCAAGATCAACAAGTTTACTTATGGTCAGGATTTTAGCTAGCAATGCGTATGAGCACACCTTGTACGCCATTTACTAAAAATAATAGAAATTGATCTCAGAATGTATGGCTTTGGAACGCCCTAATCTTCCCCTGTAATATGGTGGAATATCTACTGTATCTAATGTACCTACAGACAACTTCATCCACGGGAACAAGCACGCTGCGCTGTTTGCGAGCAGGTACGCCTAAAACTTTGAAAAGTATACGAAAACGTATTTTTTTTAAAGGATTTTTTGTTCTTTGGGACAATAATGTCCATGGAATGGTGGAAAAGACAACAGCTAACGTAAATGATAACTGGGGAGGTGATCAGTACTAAATTTGTAGCAAATGTCAAACAGATTTCGGTTCTTCAAGATAATTTAAGTCTTTATTTCCAAAAGATCGATAAATGGATGTTGTTTGTGGATAACAGTGCGCTTATTTTGCCCTTTGGACGTTTACAACTGGTATAACTGCCCTTCGATGCAACACACCTGCTTGTGTAAAACATCAGCTTAGGTTTAAAAAATGTACTAAGATACATGAAAATGAGACAACTAAGTTTCAGAATTAGTTTCACTGTCTGTTGTATTCTAAAGAGTGAAGATACACAGAAATAAAAGCAGTCCTGGAACTTTCTCCTCTCTTGGTTTTCAGATTGTCGTTGTTCAACGTGTTGTATCTATCAAGTTTCACCTTTAGCAGTAAATCTAAGTTACACTTTCTGATTGTTTGAATTAACCTACGAAACATAATATTGTACCTAAAAATTATCTCATGTCTTCCTTATGAACTTTCTGTCTCTAGTCAAACACACATATTTTCCATAATCAGTGTTGGAACAAAGACAAAAAAAGTTGGCTGCATTCCACCTAAAAATGCAGGAAAAACGTTTCAGAGCATCTAAATATCAAAAATTTCCAGGATAGGACTTCCCTAAAAGATGTGACCCACATGTGTAAACCCTATGAAAGATTCCTAGCTTAAAGCCTGCTTATGGTCTTATCTAATTAGTATATTTTACCACAAATTTCCTGCAAAAGAAAGAAAAATCTGTTTTGTCTGAATAAGTTCACAGTTATCAGAATAAAAAAATACTAATCTAGAACACACAATGTTATAGATTCATATTATTCAAATGTAGTGTTGACTCGCAGCTCTTAAGAGCTTTTTTAAAGATTCTCCTTCGTGGGGGTTTTAGGACACCCTTCCATCTCATGTTAACAGCTTTTCCCAGGAGCTCAATTAACCAAAGGGAATAGATGGTGCGTAAAGCATGTCTCTGTAGCATCAACTCACCTCGTCGTACATAAATTGCAGCGTGAGTGCGGACTTCCCAACACCTCCACTTCCCACCATTATCACCTTGTGCAGTGCCAGAGAGCTCTGGTTTTTACCTTTATTGGCAGCCATCACTTTATTTTCCTTTGTGTCCTTCTTACACACTCAAACACATGTGCACACTCGCACACACAGCCACACACACATGCACACACGCGCCGCCGACCTGTGAATGACAAGAGAGGAAACTTAACGGCGGATCACATCAGTAAGGAGGGAAGTCGGGAGAAGCGGATGGACAGATGGCAGTCGTTGCTTAACGGCCCTTGCATTGACAGTAGCACACTGTGCCAAGGCTCTAGGCTGAGATCCAACAAATCTTGAATCTTAACCCCAACCGCCCTCTTTAAACTGCCAAATTGCCAACTCATGAATCTGAGAACTTTATAAAGTTGGCCATCAAAAGGTCAGTGAAATTGATCAGGAGTAATGAAGCCGTCATTCTCATAGTAAGACTGAATTTACGAAAGCATTAAAACAGAGCATCATGTGCTAGACCCATTAAAAAAAAAAGAAAAATGGGTCGCTGGCCATCTATCTGCTTTATAAGGGCCCTGCCCTCAGTGGGTTAAAGCTCAGAGTCAATTGGTTTTTCCTCGACTTCAGTATCTTCCATTCCTGTCAGATATAACTTTTAAACAGAGTACTGAACTGACTCCCCTACAGATGCTTCAAATGTCTCACACTGGACTGGAATTTTAATGGAAATCATTTTAAATGTGTCAAATATGCGAAGGGCATGTCTCCATAAACGTCATGAGTACAGCTGGATACAAGCCTTACTTTACATGAGTTTCTTGTTTACTACTAGAGGTCGGCCATTTCATTACATCTTTTAACCCCTGTTACCTGCTGTCTGTTTATTTCCCAATTACGGTTCCTATTTTAAAGACTTAAATTGCAGAGAACTGTTAATCTTTTAGTCTTTTTTCCAAGTAAAGTTTATTTTGCATAATATATATATATATATATATATATATATATATATATATATATATATAGTAGGGATCGAACCGTTCGGTTCGACTGTCTCGGTTTGATTCGCGTGTGTTGCGTTCGGTTCATGCGCTGCTCCTTTTTCTCATAGGCGAAATGTTCACACTCCAGAGCAGAAGGTGGCGGTACTGCAACCAAAGCCAACCACCAGTAGTAAACAAGAAGAAGAAGCGAAGCAGCGTAGCCGGGTGTAGCAGAAAAAAATCAGTTGTTGTGGAGAATTGTGTGGGTATGGCGAGTGGGAAAGAACAGGAGTTGGAAGACGTGCCAGCAGCACTTTACAGGTCTGCTGTATGGGACCAATTTGCATTTAGAGTGACCTACGATGACGGCGGAAAGAAAGTTGTGGATAAAAGTGCAACAGTGTGCAAGCATTGTGCAACACGTGTTGTACTATACAAGACAAAATAGATTTTCCTAACAATTTACATATGCCGAAACGTGACCACGGAACCGTGAACCGAACCGTGGGTTTTGTGAACCGTTCCACCCCTAATATATAGACTGTTAATGTACATCTTCTGTGGTCTAATGGAAGTTTTTCCTCAATGCATGGGAAGATTTGTTTTCCTTACTTTGGATTTCTGTTACCACTGCCATCTATCTCAGTGCTTCTAATACAAACTGAGCCATCCAACAACGGTATGCAGCCAACAAAACAATCAAAACAAAAATAGTAGAGTATAAAAAAACACAAGGACCGTTCTGTAGTCAAATGTCTGCTTCAAAACAAAATCCTTCTGGATCTTAATAATGTAAGACATCCCCCCCTCATTCGTTTATTCGCTTATCTTTTTTACATTTCCTCTCTCCTTGCAAAGACAGATCATTCCCTCCTCCCGGGATGTCATGCTAATGGCGGCACCGAGTTGATTCATAGCCATATTCTTAATCTGCTCCTCCCTAACAGTAAATATTTCTGCTTCAGACCAGCGTTACAACTGCATGTACTCCTTTCAACAGACAAGGCTGAGAGGAGATAATCTTCCTTAAAAAAAATGAAACCTTTGAATTCCTACTTAAAACTCATTACACAGAGAATCAAGACTTAAAAAATCTACAAAACCTAACCAAAGAAGTGTAAATGTGCTTCTTAAGAACACATTTAATGAATAAAAAAATGAATATCTGATGTTACAGAGGAAAATATTGAGGATGTGGCATCTGGTTCTACTCCCCTAATCAGAGAATGAAGCCTGACCTATGCTCTTCCTGTCTTTGTTATCCTAAACAAGGCTAGTAAAATAGCTGATAGGAAGGATACCCTCACAAACACATTTACTCACCTTCTGATGGAACTTGCAGAAATCAGCACTTATGTATACGGGTCATCATTTCAATTATTCACATGTAACCCACTTCTTTGTGGAAAGGCACAGATGGTTAAACTAAGAAGGAACTAGCGTTCTACTGCAAACGATGAAACCCTTAGCCTTATATGCTTGGTCTTTGAAAATCTCAAAGTCAAGATAAAGTAAGATTTTGGCATGACCCAAATGCCTGGTACAAGCCCTTTTAAGAGGATCAGTGGTTGTGAAAAGAGAGGAGTGCAACAAGCTGCTTTGGTTGCTAAGCTTCCCAAAAAAAAATAGATGAGACCAGTGCAATGTGAACTGCAGAAATGCATTAAAGAGTCCTAAATTAAATTACCCCCGCTTCCACATGTGCTCACGTTAAGACATGGTCGAGGGAGGACCAACTTCTACAGAATTCACACTAACAGTAAGAAATACTAACAGCTAAGAATAAATCTAAAAATATTTTATACTTGTGCACCACTTTGCTATAAGTGTTCCTTTATCATTCGGTCAGCACAAGAAGATTGCACAATAAAAGCCATTAAATACCACATAGGACCGAAACATCAGATTCTTTGGATCTTAAAATGGTTCAAACTGATTCACTTTTTGTTTTTTTAGGTATCCAGATATCTTCACTGGATATATTCTGCAATGGGTGAGAACACAGAGAAGATAAGGTATATTTGGTTCTCACTTTGGTGCATTTAATATAATTATGTTTTAATTAACCTATCTAAGTTAATATACACAGCCCAGTAACTGATCTAATGTATGTAATGACTAGTATGCGCTCTTATTTTATGGATGCTCATAAATATATTAACCTTTTTAGGCCTTCTTGAAAATCTAATCCATCTTTAGTGAGTAGATTTGAAAATTCAGATGATGTGATCGTTTAGTTGCCTTTTGGTGTGATTTCTTTAAACTGACTGCAGTGTGACTCTGGCGTCTGACCAACATAGAACCTGCTGAAGTCCAACTTTGCTGGTTGGCTATCCTCTCACTAAGGCAGTATAAATGCTCTCACTGATAATAATGGGAGTGTATTTCCTGCAGGGTACGCAGCTGAGCTGGGTGTATTGTAAATTAGACAAATTTCTATTTGTAGCTTCTCTCCTTTAACCCATCCAATGACACTTTTAACTTTGGGAATATGGAGTAAAGTTAGCAGCTCACTTCATCTTCAAAGATGGAAAACTAAAATAAATACTAAAATACTAACTAGGTGACTAATTTAAGCCAAAGGGTTACCATAAAATCTCTAAATGACTTCTTACCAATAAACCACCTTGCTTTCCTTCTTGCATTCATCCGTCACTCATGCTATATCACTAAACTAAACAGCAAATTAAGCTTTTAAGGAATTACCTTCAGAAATAAGAAGGATAAACTTGGCTCCCAGCTTCCTTTACCAAAAAAAAATTACCTGGCTGACTTACAGTAATGAGGGAATCGGAGGAATGGGTAAGACCTTCTGTGGCCCCAGTCTATGACTTGTTTATCAGGTTGCAACAAACAATGCATAATTTAAACATGATGCCCTCCAGGCAGCTTTACAGAAATGTGTACGGTTCTTCATACATAGCTGTTAGAACAGTCACTGCCTGTGGAGACCAGGAAATGATTTACTATACTCAAAAAGACAGTCGCAGCAAGGAGCTCTTTTTTGCCCTTCAATGCATACTAACAACTCTTAGCTTGCGGGAGTGTACAGAGAGGCCTTTGACAAAACTGGGCAACTGGGACTTTAAATCCTCCCTGTGTCAGAACCCCCCCCCCCAAAAAAAATAAAATAAAACACGCAACATGTAGGCTGCTTTTCTATTTCAAACAAATCTATCTAAAACCCATCCTGCCGTGGCTTTATGTGGAAATATCTACAAGGTAAAATTTATTTGATGTCTGAATTGTTCCTATTAATTTGCTAAAATCTTTTCCAAAATCAAACGATAATACCTTTTCATAATATGTTTTTTTATTTGGATCTAATACTGAAGGATTCAGGTAATAATGTCTAAAAAGAAAAATTAAAATGATGATTTGTGTTCAGGTGTTCATACTTGTGTAATCTAATGTGCCAAACATACCTTTAGGACTTGTGACACAAAAGAGTAAAATTTGTTTCCTCTGACCTTTCATCACTGTTTCACATGCATCACAGAGACTTTATCTACATTTGGATGTTTTTCTTCAGAATAAAAGATCCTGCTTTGAGATGCAATGCTCCCCCCCTTCTCCTGATAGATAATGCTAAAAATGACATCCCTATGATGCTTTGGTATCTCTTTGACATGACATTTGCAGTGATAAGAAACAAAACAAAACAGCTTTTTTGAGCTAAATTTTTTCTAACACACTATAAAGATTCAGAAATCATACAGTTAATCACTACCTATGGGTAGGGCTAAACCATCATGGTTCAGAATTAAAGCATAAGTAGCATTTAAAACAATGCTCTACTACTCTAGATGCTGGATGTAATGATCACTGACAAGAATGTAAACGACTTTCTATCATTCAGATTACATTTTATCTAGTGTTTAACAATGGAAGAATGTAGGATGCATTATAGTAGTTTAACAATGTAGTTCTATCCTAACCTTGTCCCAGGAAAGAAACACAACAAGGGAAATTGATTTATTGAAAAAGTTTAACAAACTTACAGTAGGTGGCAATAAGGTGACTGTTAGGTTAATCGGTTTCTGTAAATTGTGTGCATAGTTTCATGTCTTTGCGAGTTCTGTGTTGCTCTGCGACAGACTGTAGACCTGTTCAGAGTGCACTCTGTCTTTCACCCAGCATCAGCGTATCCCTGGATGGATGGACGGTCTGTCAGAGGAATGCAGCTGAGAATCAAAGAGCTCCTACA